ACAGCACTCTACTAGATCTATAATCAGTACTTTATCACATTCATACACTGATGGGACACACATCGGAGGCTATGAGGGGTTCAGTGTCTTGCCCAGGGACACTTGGGCATGTGACCACTGGTGGAATGAACCAACTCTTACATTGGAGGACGACTGCTCTAACCACTCAGCCACAGCTGCCCGAGAAAGAAAAAAAAAGTTTTTTGTAAAGACTAAACCCCAGTGCTCTTCAGGTAAACTTTCTTAAGTGACCACCACGTGCACATCACCAGTAAACTAATACAGGACACTCTTACTGGGTTGTATTCCTCAATGCGGAGCAGCTGTTCAGGCGTGCACCTCTCCAGCACCGGCTCAAGAAGCTCAAACGGGACTCCGCCGGTTTCATACAGCACTGAGGAGAGACCCCTGCACCTAAATATAAAATCCAACAGAGGGACAAAACTCTCAGAGCCTCAGCGGACGTTACTCACGGTTGATGTTGTTCTGGAGCGTGCGGATGCACTGTTGATACAAGCTCATCATAGCCGGGAGAAACAGGGTTTTGGCACCGGAGTACACCTGCATCTTGCTGTTGAGCCGCTGACCGGTGAAGACCGCGGACTCTTCGTCACAGAAGTCAGGTTCTTTCTCAGCTTTAAAACCAAAGATGACACATCAAGAGCAAAACTAAAAAAAAAGGGGGTGATAATAAAAGTAATCTGTACTGGGTACATACAGTACCTTTATTTTCTAAGTAGTAGTCAATGCTTGAAGGCTTTTCCAGTTCCGGCAGAGCAGCAGGTAAAGGAACATCCATCAGATGCATCAAGGACTCCTGACGCTTCTACGATTTAGAAATTATTACAAATTTAAACGTGGCTCGCACTTTAAAACGCAAAGTTTTAGGATAGTTGTTAGCTATACCTCGTCTGGACTGGAAGCAGGTGGTTTCGAAGGGTCCATGTCAGGGGTCTTTGTTTGCCCTTTCGTCACGTTTTTAATCGTCTTGGGAGCTTTTTTAACTCCAGACTGATCTTTTCTCTTAAGATTCACGTCGTAATTCAAGTAAGATTCAAAAGACAAGGAGGGCTCTTCTTCGTCACTTTTGCTCTCCTCCTCGTTACGTTCCATTTTGGCCTTTTTGCGTTTTGAATGTTCATTATTTTCGGAGTCCGGTTTGTATTTTAGACGGTCGTGCTTCTCCTGTTTGTTCTTTTTCCTTTTTCTCCTTTGGGTTTCGGAGCTCGTTGACGTTTCAAAAGACCGGCCGTCTTTGGCTTCTTTTAACTTTTTGGAGGGTTTGTCACTGAATGACAAGAAGTCTTTGCTTTCCATTGATGATTCTTTTGGTGACTTTGATTTGGATTTTTGTTCTGATGCAGAACTTCCATTTCCATTAGAGCTTTTTAACTTCACCCTGGAGTCAGATCTGGATTTTTGAGGACCCTCATTCACGTTTTCATCTGCAAGCAACGCTTCACTTCTTTTCTTCTTCTTCTTTTCCGTCTTGTCATCTTGGATTTCGGCTTTGCTCATCAAAATGTTCTTCTGAAGGAGACTTCCTTGTTGATTTCTTTCAGTGTTTTTATCGTCCTTGGATTTTCTTCCCTTCTCCTCGCTCCGTCCTTTGTCCAAATCATTTTTTCTACTCCGAGTTTTAAAGGAGTCGTCATCCGTGGCGGTTTGATTCTTGCCATTAGATGATAAACAGTCATTTTGCTCGTCTTCATTTGATGAATATCCATTCTCGGGAGAGCTTTGGTCATCTTCTACAGTTTTAATAGAAACAGCCTCTTGCAAACATCTATTCTCTCCATGACTGCTTGAAGTGGAAAATTTTTGATTAAGACATATAAATGAGGCTAAATCAGTTTTACATTACAGAGAAAACCCACGTCACCTTGTGGACTGCTTGGGGACCAGTTTTTTCCAACCTTGAACCAGCGACTTGGCTAATTCTCCAGCTTGCTTGTGTCTCCGCAACGAATTAACCGTTTTGCCAATTCCCGTCTCCTAATGTACATTTAAAACCTCATTAGTGCATTTAAATGTCACTTTCACATAAATAAATTTTTTTTTTTAAATCACTCTTTGCAGCAAAGACTCACAGCAAGAATGTCTAATGTGACATCCAGATCCTTCAGTTTCTGCAAAACTTTTAGGACCTAAAACGAGATAAAGGAGACGTTGACACCGTTGACGAAGTCATTCGAATACTAATTTAATGATTGATTTGCACAAACGGCACATTAAATGAAACAGACACCAAATATGGTATTCCTGATTTGGAATCGCATTTGCTGAATAAGCATTTACAGCAGAAGGCTGTAAGTGATCCCCACACCCCCCCACCGTACTCCTTAAATGGGTAATCCAAATCGATAGGTGCAATATTTGTCTTTAAAATTGATTTAGGTGTGTTTTTATGCATCTAAAATCCCTTTGGTTCAATCATATTCACATGTAGATTAGCACATGTCTAATTACTCGTGTTCCAGTCTGCAGAGCACCCCCACCTTCACTGGTGATGGACAAGAGCCATAAGTTTAGGAGCTGGGTGGAGGGATTCCAAATATAGCTGCTGCAGAGACCCTCCACAGCAAAGGCTTGTGGGAGCAACTGAACAAGCTTTTATTTTGAAAAGGCCTCGATAAGTTTTTGCAACTAAACTTATCGAGGCCTTTTCAAAATAAAAGCTGGTTCAGTTGCTCCTACAAGCCTTTGCTGTGGAGGGTCTCTGGATGAGACAGCAGGTGGTTGCAAAGATATTAGAAGGGCAGAATAAAACTATCAGCGGAAAAACTGGGATTTTTGTCAAGTCAGGACCAGAAACAAGAGTTAAAAGTTAAAATTTAAACCCGTAATAAATTTAAACTTTGTGTCCTGCGCGTAATAAATAAACTGTATCTACCGTGGCAGGCTTTGATGTGTCTGACAGCTGAAGTTTGAACTGCATGATTTTCTTCGCCACATCCGAGCGCCTGGCCATCACGGTGGTTCGCGTGCAACCGCATGCGCACACCGGGCAGCGCGTGCGCGTTGATGAAAATACTATAATGGGCGGAACCGACAGTCATGAAGAAGCAGATAAAAAAAAAATAATAACAATAATAAATCCTCCTCAAACTTGGAAACAAAACCACAAACGAAGTGGAATGAATCCGCGCGTGCAATAAAAATATTCGTCCGTTTATTGTAATTTTTGGGGTTTTTTGAAAGAAAAACGTGAAGTTCCAATAATCTCTGCTGAGTCAAAATAAAATAAAAAAATATTAAAGATGGAGGCTGCTTGAAAGTATGGAATACCATGTTTGCCCAAAACATAAATAAATTGAAATCATCAAATAAAAATATGCCAATTAAATAAATATGTATTTAAATCCTAAAATAGGGTGCTGAAGTTATTTTTGACTAAAACTTTTTGTTATTTAGATTACTTTATTTCATAAGTATTTTCTTCATACCTATACATTTGTCTTAGATAAGGTTACTATGGTGTTCAACATTTTTCCCCAGAACTGCTTTTCAGTGAACTTTTTTTTTTATTTTGAAGTCATCTATTTAGATACCATAATCAATATCAACTAATTATACAATGTAATCAAAAAGCTTCAGAAATTGCTTTTTCATTTTCTTTTTTTATTGTGAAAACGCAGTGTGAATGCTGAGTGTTTTAATGTAAATAAAAGGGAAATGAGTTGTTAAAACTAATAGCTAAAAGATAAAATGTGTAAATGTATACATAAAATGTAAAACATGTTCATGTTCATGTTTGTGCTGATGTTCAATGTTTTATGTTATGAGTGCTTAGTGTATATTTAGTTGATGTTTTTCTTAGTTCATATCTTAGATGTTATTACTGTTTTTCTTATACATTTTATTGTTGGATGTAACTGGGACCCCGTGTACATAATTTCGCTCCACCACATGTACCACATGAGGTGCGAATGACAATAAAGAAACTCTGACTCTGATAAAAGCAGCAAAATACCTAATATGTAGCAAAAAGCTAGGTAAAAGCAAAAAAAAAGACAGTAACTTTTTTTAATAAGAAAGCATAACATTTTGTATTGCTAAAATAAAGTGGATACAATAGTGTTGACGAATTTTAGGGTTTACTCTTGTAGATGTACACAGCCTTACAGTACGGGAGAGCTAAAGCCACAACGTATTGAATAATCATAAAAACGAGCCGACTGTGTGTGACAGAGCTCTGCCACTTCTCATTATGAAGAAATCTATAACTATAAGATGAAAATTAACAATTCCATACATAGTTAATGATGTAAAATTAAATTAAATTGAAATGTATTACTTTCCATGAACACAAGTTAAGTACCATGTTGACATCAACTCGTTTAAGTGATGAGGGAAACTATGGATTAGTGGGAAAATGCCACACGAATTGCACAATACTTGATTGGCACTGGCTCCTCAAGAGGAGGAGTTAACGGCATGTCTTTTTCTGCAGGGGTGAAGGCTGGTCTCTCTCTGCTGCTCCAGTAACTGGAGGCACAAGTTCCTTCTTCATCAGCCTCAACTTCATTTCTCAGGTAAGCACATTTTATTTGTGCTTCATTAATTATCACAATTGCAACAACTGACTCGTTTAATGTCCAAGTTTTTTTTTTTACAAAAATGCTCATTTGTCACTTTATTGGGGTTTTATAATAAACGTGTGTAGAGCTGTGGCTAAAGGGAGATTCTATACATAACTAAACATACTAACAGATTTAAGTCTGCTTGGTTTGTGTCAAAGTACGGTGAAATCCCTTTTGCTAGGTGATGACTGCATTTGTATTTACACTGATACGTGAAAGAAATAAAACGATGCAGGTTTTTAAATTTGAACTCACTGGTCATTATAGGCTTTGAGACATGAGGCCTGCTGCTCATGTCTCAAAGCCTATAAAAGGAACGTCATGAGAGAGCCACCCCAGAGTTGCTATTCCTGTACATGCTGCTGATAAACTGTGACAGATGCAGGGGGGGGGGGCATGTTGATGTGCTCACGCCTTTCAGAATCACCTGGTGGTGCACATGATTTTACAATTGTCAGGGACTTCTTTATTCTAAAGGTAAAAATAAAATAAAAAAAACTTGATGGCTTTTGTAATTCTTACAGAAACAAGTCACATTTGACACATATTTGGACTGGGGTTAAAGACAAAACTGTAAAAGTGTCAGGTATCACGATGCAGCTGCAGATTTTCAGTCTTCCTAGTAAGTTCATTCAAAGATAGCTGGATCCCTGTTTTTATTCTTGAGCATATTCTGATCTTTTTTCTTTCAGAACTGATGAGTGAAATGTTTTCAGGATGTTAGCAATAGATCATTTGGCTTATTTAGATTGTGTATTGGGTTTGCTTAGAGATGCCATTTTATGAGATCTGAGGCGACCCGAAATTTTGGATGCTGAGTAAACAACTCCAGACACTTCAGTGTTATTTGTGTCAGTCCTTGATGTTTTGGGGAGGCCCTTTGCTGAATGTTAGCACCAAGAGTGGGTGAAGGTGTGGGAGGTTGGTCTTCAGAAATGTCGAGACAGGAGGAAAGCTCCAACGTGACTTCCATCTGAATGTCAGGATGCAGGTTTTTCCAGCAATGCATTGTTGTTGATACAAGTTGAGCACTGTTACTTATGAATGAAGCGAGTTGCATTCATCTGTCTCTATCTGCTTGTCAGACAGGTATGACACAGCTTTAACTTTGCTGTGTTATACTTTTGAGCTGTGTAGATAATTTCTATGACATATATCTCTATTTTCAGAAAAACTGGGCTGAGTACCGCTGCTACAGCCATGGCACCCAAAAAGAACAAGACAGCCAAAAAGAGTAAAGGAGACATAAACGATATCATGGTGGAAAACAGCCCCGTTAACAAGTTCAATGGATTAAACACCCTGATAGAAGGAGGGAACGGCTTCAGCTGTATCTCAACTGAAGTCACTGATTCTGTTTATGCCCCAAATCTCCTGGAGGGCTTGAGCAACATGAGACAAGAAAGCTTCCTCTGTGACCTAACAGTCACCACCAAGTCAACATCATTTGACGTCCACAAAATCATCATGGCCTCTTGCAGTGAGTACATTAGGAACACCTTGAAGAAAGACCCAACTCTTCAGAAGATTGACCTGAATGAGCTTTCACCGGTCGGCCTTGCTACTGCCATCACATACGCCTACTCAGGCAAGCTCACCTTATCCCTCTACAGCATCGGCAGCACAATTGCTGCAGCCATGTTGCTTCAGATTGGCACGTTGGTAAAAATGTGCAGCGATTTCCTCATGCAGGAGCTCAGTGTGGAGAACTGCATGTATGTGGCCAACATTGCTGTTGCCTACGACCTTAAGGAAACCAAGGAAGCAGCTCAGAAGTTTATGCGGGAGAACTTTATTGAGTTTTCAGAAATGGAGCAGTTCCTGAAGCTTACGTACGAGCAGATCAACGAATTTCTCTCTGATGATTCCTTGCAGCTGCCCTCTGAAGTCACAGCTTTCCAGATTGCCATGAAATGGTTAGACTTTGATGAGAAGAGGTTGAAGTATGCAGCAGATCTCCTGACTAACATCCGCTTTGGCACGATTGCCCCTCAAGACCTGGTGAATCATATACAGAATGTCCCTAGGATGATGCAAGACCCGGAGTGCCACCGTCTCCTTGTTGATGCCATGAATTACCATCTGCTGCCATTTCAACAGAACATCTTGCAGTCACGCAGAACAAAGGTCCGAGGTGGCCTCAAAGTGATTCTTACAATTGGTGGACGTCCTGCTTTGACCGAAAAGTCCCTCAGCAAAGATGTTCTCTACAGAGACTTGGACCAGGTTTGGAATAAGTTGACAGAAATGCCAGCAAAGAGCTTTAATCAGTGTGTTGCTGTGCTGGATGGCTTCCTGTACGTGGCAGGAGGTGAGGACCAGAATGATGCAAGGAACCAGGCGAAACATGCGGTTAGCAACTTCTGCAGGTACCAGATAATTTCTGTGTTTTTAACTGCTGTCATGCTTTTTTTTTCTTTTTTTTTTATAAAACTAGAAAATAACTCTTCATTGCAACTCATTTTTAGGTATGACCCTCGCTTCAACAATTGGATTCACCTGAACAGCATGATCCAAAGGCGCACCCACTTCAGCCTCAACACTTTCAATGGCCTCTTGTTTGCCATTGGAGGTCGAAATGCTGATGGAGTTCAAGCCTCTATGGAGTGCTACGTGCCCTCATCCAACCAGTGGCAAATGAAAGCTCCCATGGAGGTGGCACGCTGCTGCCACGCCAGCTCCGTTGTCGACGGCAAGATTCTTGTATCAGGAGGTTACATCAACAACGCCTACTCTAGAGCTGTGTGCTCTTATGACCCTGCCACTGACACCTGGCATGATAAGAGCAGTCTGAGCACACCTCGAGGGTGGCACTGCGCTGCCACCCTTGGAGATCGAGCCTATGTCATTGGTGGCAGTCAGCTTGGAGGTCGGGGAGAGAGGGTGGACGTCCTCGTTGTTGAATCTTACAACCCACACAACGGCCAGTGGAGCTACTGCGTGCCTCTTCACACAGGAGTCAGCACGGCTGGCATTACCATTTTGAACAACAAGCTCTATCTCCTCGGAGGCTGGAACGAAGGTGAGAAGAAGTACAAGAAATGCGTTCAGGTTTACAACCCCGACCTCAATGAATGGACTGAGGATGATGAGTTGCCAGAAGCTACAGTTGGCATTTCGTGCTGCGTCGTCACTATACCGACAAGAAAAACACGAGAGTCCAGAGCCAGTTCAGTTTCATCTGCACCAGTCAGTATATAAGAATCTAGATTACAGCTATGGTCTAGTTAACAAGTCTACAAATCTCCAGTTTCTCAGTCTGCAATCATGGGTTTTTGGACCCTTCTAATAAGTGGAACTCAGCTTCCTTTATTTGGGCAAAGATTGACAAATTGCAAGGTACTTTTGTCTTTTTTTCCTTTTTCTTGAAAACAATTTGAAACCGACGGAAAATCAGAAATGTTATTTTACATGCATTTTGATGCGAGATGCCAGATGATTTTTTTTTTAAAGATAAACAGACAAAAGTTGATTTTTTTGGGGGTCCAATTTAGCTTGAACGTTGTCTTTCAGCCAGCATGTATACCTAATGCCTAAAATTCAAGAAATTTTTTAAGAAAAAAATTGCACCTATGCAACGTCTGAATTTTGTAACAGCCCTTTTAGACGACTTTAGCTACAGGGACTCACGTACGGTACTTGAACAGAAGTTGGAGTTGGAATAGGGGTTGGTGGCTCCTACCAGGAGTAAGTGCTTAAGATTGTTGTTAACTCAGCCGATGGTACAGCTGCAGTTTCTCTGTCAGCTGCAGCTTTCAGCATGTATACTACATGTCATATGGCCACCATAAGCACCATTTGTATGATTTAACGAGATTCTGTATTTTAAAAAATGGTGAGGATTTAACGGGTTAAGATGTATCGGTAGTGAATTATTTTAATTTGTAAAACATAATTTAAAAAACATCAACATGTGACTAATGTTCTGAGCCTGAGCTTTTCCAGAAGTCCTGAATTTTCTGAATGCTCATGTCTTTCCATCTTATGTTTGTTTTTAAATTAAAATGATAAAATGTAATCTTCTCTGAGCTCTGTCATTTATTACAAGCTTTGCAAAGTTCATGATCATTAATTTCTGTAACATAAATTCAGTGGTGGAGAAAGTACTCAGACACCGTACTTAAGTAAAAGTACAAATAGACAGACAAAAATGTACTCTAGTAAAAGTATCACATTAACATGTTTACTCAAGTAAAAGTAAATAAGTACTTGCTTTTAAAAATACGTAAAGTATTAAAAGTAAAAGTACTTGCTGAATGCATTACCTATAATGCAATGGTCTACAATATCATTAAGTGTGACTACCATATGTATATTTTCTGTAATACATTAATAGTGTTGAGCCATTTTAATGAACAGATAATACATGTTTTTATTGTGTCTCTGTGACACAGTTCACACCTGGACTTGTGATTCTGTGCATCAGAATTTCAGGGATGACCTGCAGAGTTAAATGCCATTAAGCAAAATAAGAAAGAGGAATGATTATTATACCTTTGCAAGTTTTTATTTAACACAAAGCAAAACCAATGTGTCATTTTAACTGCATTAAACATATTTAAGTAAAAGTTGTTTGCCTGAAAAAAGGAGCATTAGCAAACAAAGGAATAGGCTCTGATCATTTCAACTCCAGTTTGTCTACTCTAGTTAAAATACTGTCTAGTCAACCTTGTAATGGGTCAATAGTGAACAATATTTTAACTTCCTGACGCCATTTTCAAAACTTGGACCCGAGTGTCGAGCCATTTGGAGACATCTCTTGTCTCCTAACATCCCATTAAATGACACATTTTAATATTGCAGAAAGAATTTCTTGTTCAAGTTCAGAAGAAGTTAGTTTTCAAAGTTTTTTGAGTCCAGTCTGTCTCTTTTGGGAGAGAGAATCTGTCCTGCTGTACTGAATAGTCTTTCAATACTCTTTCAATAATCTTTCAATAGTCTTTCAATACTCTTTCAGTAAGACCATGGGTGGTGTGTATTATCTGACTGACTCTCCACGGGTGGAATCCATTTTGGGTGTATTCGCGGTGCTGTGGGTGCGTCCAGCTCAATGACGTACAAGAATATACGTCCATATTGGCCCAGCTCTTCTTGAAGACGGGGTCTAACGTTACCTGATTATTTTGCAGTGATTCTATGGACCAACTCCCCTCTCGCCATTGGTTAATTTCAAACTAACGAACAAATCAAAAAAGCACAATGTGAATGTAACTTGTAACGCAACACATTGTAGAAATGTAGTGTAGTAGAACATACAGATACTTAATGTAAAACGTAGTGAAGTAAAAGTCAAAAGTACCCACGTTTAACTCTACTAAGTAAAGTACAGATACATTAAAACTGAACTGAAGTACAATAACAAAGTACTTATATTTAGTTACATACCACCACTGCATAAATTCTAAAAAATAAATATTATTTTGAGAGTTTGTAAAAATATGACAAAACACAGATAGTCCAGCAGGGGTCACAACTCTGAATTGTAACTTTTATTTTTTTATTGTCTATAATGATGATTAAACTCTAAATAATAAAACCACTGCGTAGCTTAAAGTTGAAGTTACAGTTTATTACACAATTTTGCGCCTGTGTTTGACAAAAATTCAGATTTGTTACATTTCTCTAACTAGAAAAAAAAAATACTTGGTGACTCTATATTTACAGTGAGAGATAATGCTGAGTCATTCATAAAGGGTCATTTCCAACCCTGAAGTTTGTTGAATAAACTCAGTGAAACATTCAAATATGATTTGTCTTTTTTAATGGGTTATTTATTTTTATCATAGTTTTAATGCTTGGGGTCATTTTGGTGTATACTTTGAAAAAAAAAATTTAGGGAAAACAAAAACTTGATGTGTAATTTTACACCTTTTCATGAGTTTTTATGGTAAAGCAACTTTTTTTGTGTGTGTGAGAATAAAAAGAACAGTTGGGCATTATTCTATTTTTAAACATAGAGGAAGCAAGGGTGAAAATGTGCATCTAAAGTTCTGCTGCATATTTTTTTAATGAGTGTGACAACAGAAACATCATGGAAGAAAAGCAATTTAAGATCTCAAACTGACAAATGATAAAATGAATACTTATATTTTTATCATTTCTGTCTGGGTGTCACTTTAAAAAAAAAAAAAAAAAAAAACTTTTTTCCTGTTTTTATTTCTGCGTCTGTAAACAAGTAAAAACTTCTTGTTACACATTGTTATTTATATCAGTGTCAAGTTGTACCAACACCACAATCATGGAGCTCACTTTTGTTGTGCAATCAATGCTGCAGCCACTCGTACAGCAATTAAAGCATAAAACCTGTCACTGATTTATTTGGTGGTGTGCATATACACGTCACGTGTCTGATAGTTCCAAAGAGTGAGCCATCTCAGATTCACTGGTTTCATTAGAGGACATTTCCCTGCTTTAAATATTGCATGATGCTGTAACAAGAGCAATGCTTACACACCCACCATCGTATTTCACATGACTTGTTTATAGCAGAATCTAAAATAATGTAAATACATTTGCACTAAATAATTTAAAGATGTCGCAACTTGTTGGACCCTTGAGTTAAAATACAAAGCTAACTCGTGAACACACATAAAACTTCCCTGTGTTTTACATATTGTTTGACTTGGAGATGAAATAAGATGTGGAGGTGTGGCGTATGTGCCATATGACTCTTTTTCTTTACTATCACCATTGTGTTGCTTTTGCATATTACATAATGCGCTCCAACTTGTGACCAGCATGTGCTGCAGTCTTGACTAGAGGCTTTGTGAAAGAAATAGCTTTCTGTCTCATTAGGTCCAGGCCAACTACAGGATAAAATAACGGAATATGTAATTCTCCTGATGCATACTCAATAATCCACGCAGATAAATCTGACAAGGTTAAGTCATGTCCTCTGGACAGTCTTCTTTGTTGAAACATCTTTTATCCAGATGACTTCTTCAGTCTGAGGCGCTGCAACAAACTCTGTTTTATAAACATCACCTTCTCATAGTGTAGCACACTTCTCAACCAGTTTGCTGGTGACAGAAAAAACGAGTTGTTCACATTCAAAAGGTGGACCATGAGCTTAACAATTGATCATTACTGCCTTGATGGACACTTGCTAGGCTGAGTGATGCAATAACAGCATTGTAAGAGGGGGACAGTTGAACACGGAGGCTTCCGTTCCACCCCGTTTAATGATTGACAAGTTCTCTTCACAAAGATGGCTTCCTTCACTCCTCTCTCAAACCATTGTTCCTTTCTATCAAGGATGTGCACATCTTCATCCCTGAACGATTGACCGCTGGCCTGGAGATTAGTGTTGACGTCAGAGTCTTGGGCTGATGATGTTGCTCTTCTGTGCTGGACCATCCTTTTGGCCAGTGGCTGATTAGTTTCCCCGATGTAAGACTGATCACAGCCCTACTGGCACTGAACAGTATATACAATACTACTCTGTGCTGGGGGACTGGATCTTTGGGATGAACCAGTCTTTGCCGTAATGTACTTTGGGGTTTGAAAGCCACTAGACGTCATCTTTAGAAAATAAACGTCTCAGTTTCACTGCAACTCCTTCACAGAGGCGATTCTAAAATCTGCCTTTTAGGAGTGCCTAGCCCCCAGTGTTGATAATAGCTCTTGGCTTGAACAACGGTATAAGGATCTAAGATATACACTAAGATATACGCCAAACGAACGCCAAAAGATCCAAGATACACGCAGTCCAAACATGAGTCTGTGGTGAGCAGATGCTACAAATGAATACAGCAGCATGCATGGATACGTCACATATCACTAATTAAAGTTGCATTTTAGTGATTTTGTTAACAGTGATTATCCTGGTTAGGGATTCATGAGTCTAACAGCCTCAGGGTAGAAGCTGTTCCTCAGTCTAGTGGTTCTACACATAATGCTCCTCAACCTCCTGCCTCAGGGAAACAGGGCAAAAAGTGTGTGTGCTGGGTGAGTGGGGTCCTTCATGATGCAGGTGACCCTCTTCCTGCATCTAGAGGTGCAGATGTCTGATGGTGGGGAGGCTGACTCAAACTGTCTTCTGTGCAGCCTTCACCACTCTCTGCAAAGCTTTTCTTTTTGCAGCTGTGCAGCCTCCATGCCACACGTTGATGCTGGACCACAGGACGCTCTCCACTGCACACCTGTAGAAGGAGGTGAGGACTGAGCTTCCCAGTCCAGCCTGCATCCAGCAAATGTGGCCCTGAATCCAGCCCTGATGAATCCTGGGCATCCAGCCCTATATGTATTTTGTACGTTGTTAACATTATATTTCTTTTTCACTTTTTGGTACTTTATTATGTACTTTTAGTGCAAGCTTTAGTAGTTTTTTTTTTTTTTTAGTGAGTTGAATTGGTTCTTCTCCTGAAAATGTCATTGCTCTGCTGACCTTGCGTTAACCTGCATACGACAAATAAATAAACAAAACATAATGAGAAGAAGCCTGACCAATAGCTCTTCTTGTGTGAATAGAGCACGCTTCTCTTCTCTCATGCATCCTAGCACCCCCTCCCCCACCCCACCACCTTCTGCAGGTAAGGGCGTTTCACTTCAGGACAAATTGAGAAAGCTGATTGGTCATTTGCTGATGAGGATTAATTGACAAGTGGTGTTGAGGATCTGACTTGCGCAAAAAAATCTTTGATTTTACTGCCCGTATGTGTCATCATTTATTCCATATTTATTCCAAATTTATTTAATATTTTGGTGAATCTAAGGTTTGAGAACTGAGCTTCCTTACAAAATTGTAATGATGTTTTTTTTGTTGTTCGTTTGTTTTTTGGGGGTACTGAGTTATAATTTAGGGGTACTTGAGCACCCCCAAAATGAGGCTAAAATCACCTCTGCTCCCGCAATATATGGAATGGCCACTGCTCTGAGTTCCTCCTTTGCACCTGACGGCTGACTGGAGTCCTGTTTGGGTTTCTTCTCTGCTTTCAGGAAGGCTCAGTTAGGATATCCACATTGCTCCAGGGTCTGTCTTGTGTGGGATCTCTCCTTTGGGATGCTGTCCGCTCTGTGATACAGAGTCCTGATGACTCCTAACTTGTGCTACAGAGGATGATGGGAGTCAATACTGGTCTGTGTGGGTGGGTTTGCGGTACACATCAAATGGTCCTCCATGTGAACAGCTAATTTTATCTGTCACCAACAAACTGGTTGATCCACTAAGGTGCTATTTATAAGACGGAGTTTGTTGCAGTGCCTCAGACTAAAGAAGTCTTGTGGATAAAGGACAAACTGTTTCAACAAAGAATAATCCATCCAGAGGACCAGACTTGACCTTGCTGGAAATATCTAAATTCCTCCATTCAAGTTTATTTGATCAATGACAGCACAATAAACAATGTTACATGATCAAAACAAAGCAACCGTTGTTTCATACGAAGGTTTTCTAGTCAAAGGCTAATTTGCAAACACAGTCCTTGGTTGGACTTTTTTTTTTTAAACAGCTAAAATGGGATTAAAATTAAATTAGAATTAAACAGTCCCCTCATGCCTGCTCCTCCATCCCCATGGGGCTCAGTGTTCACATATTTGTTTTTGTTTCAGCCATTGTTTCACCTGGGAATTAAAAACCTAAGATCTGTTAACATTTTTATTGCTGGTGGTAAACTGTTCCTTATATGAGGACCTTTAAATGAGAAGGAACATTGACCACGTTATGTTTTGTATTTTGCAGGTTCTCCATCAACTGCACCTCTTGTTGCAACTCCTGTGCTGCAGACTTGTAAAATCATTCTGCTCACTAGCTCTGGGACAAGACCATTAATGCATTTAAAAGTCAATTTTAAACAAGAATTTATTTTTTTTTCAATTGTCGAAGCTTAAGAAATGTACATTTCTCCAGTATTTTAATGTCTTTTTTGTAAAATTAGGTTCATGATAGATTTTTCTCAGTTACTTTTGTCTTGTCTTTAGTTACAAACCTTTAGTTTAGTCAGAGACTTGTCAAAGCCACATAATCAACTTTATTATCATTGTCCTTTGCATTTGTGTATTAGGTAGAAAATATTCGCCCACCTTTGCAAACTGCCTGCAACTACCAAAAGGCTGTGATGTAGCCCTTTCCTTGCCCCTGGACTCAAATTTATAATTTCAGACAAGAATCAGTGAGGTCAGATTTATTGCTGAATCACTAGTGACACATGATTTTCTTTGTAAATGCAGTTCAAACACCAGCACCTCATTCTTTTGATCCATGAATGTACTTAACAACAATGTTGAAATGGGATAAGTCACCTCTCACACTGTAGTCATAAACATGACTCATTTACTTTTACTCTGTAAAGATTGAATTAATCTGTAAGAGATTAAGCGGATATTTTGCAAACAAAGGCCTAGCCTTCCTTGAAGGAATGCATATTTCCTGCCACTTTTTAATGTTGGATTTTTAAGAGCTTCTCATGATGATCTTGCATGATCTGGTAGAGCTTAAAGTCTGTGTTGAGGATGATGCTCAGCTCACACCAACATTTAGATGAATATCTAAAATTGACAGCGGTAAAGACATTTTTCTGATGAATATAGTCAGTTAGCTGTGGGGGACATCGTGAACTGGGTTATTTCAAAGGTTAATCGGTTGTAGATGTTTATCCAGTTATTAATTTCTGAGTTTCATTCCATCCCATAGTTCATGAGATATTTTGCTAACAGACAGGCACAGCTGACTGTAATAGTTAATGGCAAACTTTTAAAAATCACAGTCAGTAGATTACAAAAACCGGGACTGAAAAAAACAAAAAGGCCAAAAAAAAAAAAAAAGAAATCCTAGTATTTATTTTATATAAAAGAGAATTTGTTACGATTTTTCTCTAGGTTTCCACTTTACCGGTGAACATGAACGTCTCATTGAGAGTTCGCTCGGTGGGCGGAGCGCCAATAAACGCATAGTCATAGTGACGTCGTTAGGCTCCTCCCGGAAGCGTCACGTGCTTTAGAACTAGAAGATGAGTTCACGTACAACACAGCGTAAGTCCGTTTGTGACGAGCAACGGGCTGGCTTGGCAGCTTCAACAAACACGGGCTCACTTTGTTGTCAGTGCACCACGGGGCATAATTATACACTGCTTCGGTCTGTGTCTGTTAACCGAACCGAGGGTACCGGGTGTCGCTTGTCCGGTTTGACGTCAACTATCGGCTGTGGTTTACCGAGCTAACAAGACTAGTTAAGCAAGTGAGCAGGGGCCTGTCTCCTCAAATGCTCAGCTAACGGTACCAACCGAGGACGCCGACAGCACCGAGGGACTACATCCCACAGAGACTAAACTCTGCCGAGTTTGTTGGATCTGGACTTTTGCCGGGACAACTAGCTCGGTAGCTAACCCTGTGGCGCATTATTTTGCAGCTTCAAAGCAGCCGGCGGCGGGACACGCTCAGACCCAGCAGGGCAAAACTTAAGTGTGCGCGATGGGGCTGCTGTCACAGGGATCTCCACTGAACTGGGAAGAAACCAAGAAATATGCCGACCACATCCGAAAGCACGGCATCATCCAGTTCGTCAACATCTACAATAAGGTTAAGGAGCGCCAGAAAGATGTGCTGAAATGGGGAGATGAGGTAAGAAAATAAATAAAAAGTGTCATGCGCCTTTAAAGCTGCACCGGCATGTGGACGTTTATTGGAAGCGTTAGTCATGTTAGTGCATGATGCAATAAAGCACCGTTATTGATGTTAATGTAACATTATTATTGATATTGTTTATCTTATTTCTTTATATATTGTTTATGAACATTTAGGAACTTTTGTGTGAAATCTTTTATCTTTTTGTCTGTTGCTGCTGTTACACTTGAATTTCCCATCCGTGGGACAATAAAGGCCGTTTCTATTCTATTGTAAGTGCCTTTATCTTGTGTATAGATCTAGGACAAAACCTGACGTTTTACCTGCAGTTCTTAACGTGTTTGCACGACTGATTTTCCAAGTAAACGCAACCACTGGCTTATTGTATAGTGCTGTATTTAAAGCAGTGAATCACCTGGTGATCCTAACATTTGTCAAGTTGTCAGTGGAGATTTTACTTGTTCAGTGATTCACCTCATGTTTTGTGCTGTTACCACTAATAGTTCAGAGAAAACCTCCCTGTTGAATAAACACAACGCATAGATCTGTGTGCTCGGCTGTTCAGCTAACTGTTTGCATTTAAATTATTATTATTAGTAGCAGTAGTTTATTATTCTATGCCTGCCAGCAGCAGCCCACAAATCTTTGGTTTGAAACCGCTTGAATCGATGTGGAATGCTGTTGTTATAGATTAATCCGTGTTTCAGACAGAGGATTACAGAGGAGCAGAGTCAAAGTCAAGGAAACGTTGCTGATGAATTGGAAGTGATGTGATGGCGTCCCAGTCTGGTCGCTGTCGGAAAGCCCGGCCCCGAATTTAAACTTGTGAGCTAACGTTTTGTCCCTCTTCGTTTTACTTCAGGTTGAGTACATGCTGGTGGAGCTGGACGACAAGGATGAAAAGGTTCGACTTGTGTTGAACAGCGACGACGTTTTGGAAACTCTTCAGGAAAAGGGTGAAAAAATAAACCCCAAGTAAGTAACGGTGCAGCATGTAAGGCGAACCAGATTTACAAATGTGACTGAAGTTAGGAGCAGTGAGTCATGCAGGTGACTTTCATCTTGATGTTTTTCATTCGTGCACCCGCACTGCAATAGCTAAGGGTGCATTCACACCAGCCCTGTTTAGTCCGCTTTAATCGAACTCTAGCTCATTTTCCTAGGAAGTCCGGTTCGTTTGGGGAGGTGTGAACGCGCCATCGAACTCTGTCACGGAACAAAAAGGCGAACTCTGGCCGGGGCTAAAACCTAGGTCTCGGTCCGGTAGAAGAGAACTCCAGCGTGGTTCGAGTACAGTGTGAATGCAAACAGACCGGGCCCCACTCCACAAGCAAGAAGTGGAGTACAGCGCAGGGCCAACAAACACACATCTCTCTTACCTTTTTATATGGAGCCGTCGGCTGCCTTGTGTGAAAAACTAACTCCTAATACTTGATGCCTCTCCATTTTTGTTTTTATTTCCAGAAGAAGTGTCTTCAGAGGTTTTTGTGTCGTTTCGTTCAGTAGTTCTTGGTGCAGCGCCCCCACAGGCGAGTGGGGGAACAGGTTGGTTCGACTGCACAGTGCAGTGTGAATGCAAACGCACCAGCTCAAATGTCAACAAAATGTTGTGAATATTGGTCCCCAACCGAACCGAGTCTACCGGACTATCAGGTGTGAAAACAACCTAAGTCTATTTGTGATAATGTGGAGAGGGACATCAAGAGTGGTGAATCACATTGTAGTTGTGTATAATCAAAAAGTGGTGACAAAATCCTGATTCTTTACATATTTGTGGTTTGAACAGTTACAGGCAGATTGAGCTGCAGGGTTATCTGATTCATCTTCCTTTGAATCCATCCTTCGTTAAAGCAGGCAAATCCCGCTGAGATCATAGAGGCCTCTCAGGCCTGATCGAGGGTGGCCTGGGCCTGCAGACAGCTTGAACATGCATGTTTGGACTGTGGGAGGAAACTGGTGTACCTGGAGAAAATCCACCTAAACGCTTGGTGCTTATGCTAACGTCGCACAGAACGACCCAGATTGGGCCTGGGGTCTTTCTGTGTGGAGTAAGCATGACCACCTGGGCTTAAATCCAGGACCTTCTTGCTGTGATGCAACAGCGCTAACCACTAAGCCATTGTGGTGCCAACTCCTTCACAACGTCTTCATTGGCTCCCCTGATTTGCGTCGTTCACGGTCACAAAGCAAATAAATGGCATTACCGGTCCATGCTGTTACAAACGCTCCCATCTTGTTCAGCAGGTGTGAGCAACTTGCACTCTTTTGGCATCAGAATAAAGCAAATCTTTAAATATGACAATTTGCCACAAATGTATCAGCAACAAAAATGACAGAAAGGGGGGAAAAATGTTTCTCTGGTTGAACGGATGAAGTACAGAACAGAGGATGGAACATCTGACTAAGTGAGGAATCGCATTAAGGGTGGCATTTTGTTTTAAGTCCAAGTCACATTTTGGGTTTGGGTACTTATAGAAAAAATTATCCTTTTGGCTAATGGTTATAAGTTATGCACTGTCCCCCCTATGGAAGCGTGGGACCACCGCTCTCTCGCCCTCAGATTAGCTGCAGACTACAAAATAATGGCGGTGGGGATCTTTAGGCACCTCACTATTCAAATCTGTGACGTTTCTGTGTGCTACCATGCAAATCTAAAACACCTTTTGATGCCCTAAAGTCTAAATGACTGTGGCTTATTTTACTAAATAAACTTTGACTTCACTGTGTACACAATTCATATGTTTTAAAAAAAACCTTATTAATCACAGGCTGCTGAATAACTATTGGCCTAGACGCTAACTTAACGTTGAAAGCGTCAAAGAAAAGCCAACACGATTAGCATCATGTTCATCACTGGAAATTAATAAACGATTCAAATATTTCAAAGTAATAATTACTAAAGATATTTGTGTTTTATAACTTCAGCTGTTATTTACAGACATGTTGATAATGGTTCAGCAAAAAAAAGATTAAATGAAAAATAACTGATTTATTGCAGCATGTTTCAACGACAGAGAGCTACGGTAACTCTAGTAGGACAAACTGGACAGTGTAGCAACTATTTTGCCGACTCTTAAAGTGGGAGCACAGATTAACTGAAACAAAATTAGTTTTTGACATAAAAATCTATGCTGGATATATCAAAATAGATTTTACCTCCCACCCCTACAAAATAATTACTTCCTGTTTTGTTTAACCTCTGGATCTTTGTCAAAAGGCCCAATTAAGAGGTTTGGTATTCTGCACCCACAACAGGCTTTTATGCCTTTTTTTTTAATTTTTTTACCAGTTTATTTGTAGACACAGTATTGTCTGATAGTCATCACTAGATGAGAAATTAAATAAAAAATTTTCTAACATTCTTGCAGTTTTCTTGCAAACTCTCACTCTTTTTTTTCGTCAGTGTTGCAAATACCACCAGTTTTCAGGAGGTTGTAAATATTTACCAGAAATTTTAATATATTAAGCATATTGAGCCTAATTTGTCTGATGCTCTACGTCAGTTCGGTAGCTAATGATTGGAGCAGAGATCATAGAATTCGAGTGCTTTTGCAGTTTGTTTACTTAATGATAATGTAGAACTTCTCTGAAATTAGTGAAAAGCACAGGATTAAACTCCCAACACTGCTGTTTTTATATTGTAAATGTATGTAATTCACACTTACGTTGTGTTTCAACTCTTAATATTGAGTATTACTTTGGTTTACTGTTGTTTATTTAATAAGGAGGTCTCTGAAAGGAGATTAAATATGAATAGTAGCTTACTGTATAAGAACAAACTGCAACTAGTCGGATATTCTTTTACTGCCAGTTAACTTAAAAAGTTACTCATTTCTTATTAAGTTATCTGCAGCACAGCAAAGACAGTAAAACTGCAGAGGTCAAGGATTAAGTACAGACTAGCTGCTGCCAAAAAAAAGGGAAGGATGCAGTACACATGATCATTAACTTTTTTAAATCTTACCTTATTGGTGAAGAGCCCATTTCCACCTCTGATAATTTGGGCAAAATATTCAAGTCATAAATATAAGATGCTCTATCAAAATAGACTTGGCATCTTTTAGCATCCCTTAATTACACGTTAGCATCTCATAATTTTGAAGGAGTGTCAAGTGATTGACACAAACTCTAGTAAGTACAGTGACAGGATTAACTGGATTGAGTTGATGTTTCCTGAGGCAAGCTTGTTTTTAAAGTAAGCTGTCTAGCTTAATTATTTACTAAGCCGTGTTCTTAAGAAGATGGATCATATAAATGAAAGGACAAGTGGCCACAAAAACATTTTACGGCTCATCTAGTCGCACAAAGCCTTTTTATTTTACTATTTTGCCTACTGCTCTTCAAAGTTTACATGCATCTCAGAGTTGTGAAAATGTCTGTTATTGACAGTTTTTGACACGTCAATTAGTCTTTTATTCCCAAAGAGAATCTGGTTTGTAAATGAGCAGTTTTGCTAATGATTTCTCTGATTTGTTCCCTATACTCTGGCACGTATTGCTTTAAATTCAAAACACTCCTGTGTTTTCATATATTCCTTTTGATTAATTGTTTTTATGAGACAAGTAGTTTTATCAAAACATGCATGTCTACAAATTTAAGTTTGCTAAGCTAGGTCTCCTACGTTTTGATTTGAAATTAAATTCAGTTTATTTATATAGCGCCAAGTCACAACAGAAGTCATCTCAGGGCACTGAACAGAAACGTTCATATGCATAAAAACATGAATTATCTGAGGTGCAGACTGCTTTGGGTTTAACGTCATCTCAGACTCTCAACTTGAGCAAGCATGAAGGCAGCAGTGGGAAGGAAAAACTCTCATGAGGAATAAACCTTTAGCAGAACCAGGCTCAGGACAAGTGGCCATCTGCTTCAACCGGCTGGGTTTGAGAGGAACAGATACACAATGGCAGATCGAGAATCACATGTTAAGATAATATCAAATGAAAACTATTCATTTGTAACGATTCATTTTAAGAAATTAGGTCAGTTTGTCCTCCAGTAGTCTAAGCTTATGGCAGCATAAAAACTATAGGATTTATCAAAAAGGAAAGTCATAAGCCCAGTCTTAAAACTGGTCAATGTGTCGGCCTCACGGACAGAAACTGGAAGTTGGTTCAACGAGAGAGGAGCCTGAGGTAAGATCTTCCTCTCATTCTGCCTTTGAGAACTCTAGGAACCACAAGTAAGCCTGCAGTCTGAGAGTGAAGTGCTCCGTTAGAAAAATATGGTACGATACGATCTGTAATATAAGATGGAGCTAGGTTGTTGAGGGCTTTGTAGAATGCAACTAAAGTTTTGAGTCAGGTGGATCACATCTCACCAGGTGTTTTTAGATTTTTATCTTTCACCTCCATCAAAGGGAGAGAAACCTATTTCAGTTACATTTATTTTTCAACTACCTCCCACCTAACTATGTAAATTAAATTAATTAGAAAATATCATGTTTCATCTTTAAGGTAAACCTTTGACTCAAAACATCTTTTCGTTTGTATTTTTAAGCCACTAAATCAGCAAAACTAAAATAAGTTTCTTATGGCAATGTACCCTTCTTAGCATAGTTCCATAAATGTTTGCAACATGTAAAAGTTATGCAAATGTGTTTTGTTTTTTTCATGCAACACTTCCCCGTAGTTGCTGTTTGTGTACCTAAACATCAGCGACACATCTTCAAAGAAGAGGAATTTTCTGCAGTTGCTGAAAAGTGTTGATACAGGCTCACAAGTGTTATGTTTGCCTCCCTGGCCATGACGTCAGTGTAAATCTGCGTATCCAACTTCTCCAAGGGTAAATACCAGCGGCAGTGACAATGGCAGAGCTCATGCATTCCTCGTTACTGCCCCTCTGCTGCACACACCAAAGAGCACGCTCTGCAGCACAAATCTGTTTTTGTCCTGCCAGGATTTGAGCTGCCGTAGTTTATTTAACAGAAAAGGTCATTGTAACACTTGGACTATGTGTAAAAACATATACAACATGTTTTATATTTCTGCAGTCATCCCACGCTTTGGAGACCAGAATATAGCCGTTACATGATTGAGGGAACTCCTGGGCAGCCGTACGGTGGGACCATGTCAGAGTTCAACACTGTGGAGAGCAACATGAGGAAGAGACGTCAGGAGGCGTCATCTGTCCTGAACCAGAATGAAACCCTCTGCACCATCACCTCGTTTCCAAGGTGATTTGGTTTGGTGACCAAATGTTTCTGTCCTATGTACTGGCTTATTATAAAGAAAATAAAGTTGGATTTACAGTTTGATATAGAGACTTGTTGCTTTTTGTTCAGGTTAGGTTGCCCAGGTTTCACCCAACCAGAGTATCGGCCGACTCCTGTTGAAAAAGGAGTTTCAAAGTCGCTGTTTTTCCCAGATGAAGCAATCGGCGCACACCCAAGATTCAGGTATCTGCATGATTTTGCATGTTTTCATTGGTTCAGTGACTAATAATTGCAATTTGGAGCTGCAAATTTTACTTAAGGGGAATCAAATTCCTTTTTCAGCACTCTCACAAGAAACATACGTCATCGAAGAGGCGAGAAGGTTGTGATAAATGTGCCAAGTAAGTTGGATTTTTCAACAGAAAATTAGTCCTTGTTGGGTGAATGCTGAGTCAGCGTACTTTCTTGCTGTTTTAACCATGCATATATCAAAATGTTCAGTTCAGTCAAGAATAGTGTGCTGCAACCTTTAGTGTTTATATAGCTTTTATACTTTTTGGATTATTTAACTAAATTTCAACAGTGGTGGGCACAGCTAACCAAAAGGTTAGCTTCACTAACCCATATTCTGCTAACTTAAAAATTTGCTTTACTAATGCTAAACTGCAAAAAAAAAAAAACTAATGGAAGCGAACGCTAAATCACTAAGATGACAGTTACTCGATCTGTGTCGCATGCCTTCGTCTTCTTCCAGCTGAAGCTGCATCGACCATAGGCGTCGCAACCATTATATGTGAATGAGACATGTCTCCCCACATTAAAAAAACATTCATTTGGACCCCCCCACTTTTACTATGAAACGTAGTTCAGTCGGTGCAGTTTTTCTTTCTTCGTGAACGAATCCATTCCACTTGATTAAAAGGAGAATACTCAAGCCACTAAAACTCCACTCCAGGCTTTCCTGGTTACCTCCAACTCACTGAGTCTCCTGCCTCGGCAGAAAACGCACACAGGTGGAGGAGATTGAGACACCTCTGTGTTGCTTGCTCGCAAGCTTAGTGCGGGCAGTTGTTGACCGGGGGGGAGGAGGGGGGTTTGATCATAAACATATACACATGGTTAGGAGGAGAGAAATGGAGCGCTACGTCTGTAGTATCATCTTAGCAGTAACTGACACTGTAAGACGCTGCAGGTGTAAGAGACGCTGTGTGTTCAGGTGCATTAAAGTTAAAATGTCTTTAAAACCCACAGCTGAATTTACACAAACTTGGTGAGAAACGTGCTATAAATGTGTCGAATTAAAGGAAATTTACGTGAAATGTTACTTTTTTGTACACTAGTTTACACGTTTTAGCGCGCACATGCACACTCTCGCACACACCTACACACATCATTGTGTCGTCCCCCCCCCACACACACACACACACGCACACACACATTACGGATGCTTTATACAGAAAGGAAGGTTAAGCAACTATATAAAAAATAAATAAAAGGACTTAATGAAGTTTTTGCCTTTCGTGCATTATATTTTTGCATTTGGTCCTCAGCCCTCTGATAGATTTTAATTTTGGCCCTCTCGGGGAAAAAGTTTGGGCACCCCTGCGTTAACTGTGTCCAAATTTTGCGAAAACTCATCCGCTGAATGAAAATTAGTTAGCTATTAGTGGAACTGTGCCCACTGCTTCCTTTTCAATTCCGTCACACATTGTCTGCTGAAAAACACTTCAGCATACTTGCTTTATTTTTGTCTCTTATGATTTTATCTACGCTTTTGCTAATTTTAGTTTATGGTTTCAATTGTCCAAGTTAAAGCTTTTAGCTACAGTTTTCACAGTTGGAGCTTTTCAGCTGTCTTTCTAAATGTTTGTTTTATTTCTTTTACTTGTTTTAACTTTCATAATTTTATTTTTCAACAAATTTCAGCAGAATTAGTCAGCATTTATCATTCACACTGCATTTTCACCAAAAATGTGCTTTCTGTACTTTTTAATTATTGTTTCAGCTTTTTATTTCAGATCAGTTTTTTTGTCCGTTACCTCAACAAAAATATTTCAAACCGGTTCTAGATTTGATCAGTTGGTATATGTTTATAGCTGTTAATTTTAAATGTAAACACATTTTTTGCATTTTATTTACCAGTGACTGACTTTTTTTAATAATAGGAATTTGTTCATATAAATAATATATAAAATGATTGTATTGCTTTTTCAGTCTTCCAAGATGTGCGCACCCTCAATCCATTTGTGGAGAAGTTCCCTGAAGATGATGGCGAAGCAGCAAGAGCGTCTCTGCCCAACCACATCTACATGGACTGCATGGGCTTCGGCATGGGCAACTGCTGTCTTCAGGTAGAGATCTGACCGAGCTGCGCGACATAAAGCTTTAGTTTTTGTTTGCCGACGTCAATGAGATCCTTGAACTTTGTGCGACTGCAGCTCTGCTATCCTAATCATCGGTTTATAAATGCTCTTCAGCCTCCTTTATTATGTTTTTTTGCAGGTGACATTCCAGGCTTGCAGCATCGATGAGGCAAGATACCTTTATGACCAACTAGCACCAATTTGCCCCATTGTGGTGAGTGGCTGCATATTAAACAAGTTCCCTGTTGTGTTTTCATTTGTCCTCCTTTTTTATCAGAGCTGTTATACAATGTGTGATATTTGACAAAAGACTAATGAAATAATTGAAAACATGTTTTTAGAGGAACTATAGAGTAGATCAGAGCAGAACTATAAATGCCTTTAAGTTTTTAGACCCTTAATACAGAAAAAAAAAGCAACTCACTGAAATCACTTTTTTTTTTTTTGGTTTAATCTTTTCTATGTGGTGGTACTTAGTTTTATGAACTACTCTTACTTTTTCCTGATTATTATAGACTTATAAAACTTCCTGTTTCATTGTTGAGACTTTATTTCTGCTGTTGGGAAAGTGCTCGGTCAAGCTGAAGGCCGTGCATCTCTTTTAAAACATGTCATGACTTTGAGTCGCTTTGCAGCTGTTCCTATTATCAGTTTTTAATTTACATGTTTTGTTTCATTTGTTGCACAAATGCTTGATACAGTTCTCATTCCTTGCAGATGGCCTTGAGTGCAGCGTCTCCTTTCTACAGAGGCTACGTGTCGGACATCGATTGCCGCTGGGGAGTTATTTCCGCCTCAGTGGATGACCGGACTCATGAGGAGCGTGGACTGAAGGTGAGAGGAGCTGAAAATACCACAATGAAAAACTTAAGTTTTTTTTATTTTTACTAAGTCTGTTCAGCCTGACTGAGTTGACCACACTTTGATTGCATGGACAATATTAAACACATTCTAAGCAAAAAAGAAGAATTATTTTCTAATGTTCTTGTAGTGTTTCAGATTGCTTTATAGTATTATTATAATTTGTGGTTAATCAGAGCAGAAGGGCTATAGAAACCAATAAGTTGTAGCTTTGTCATCGCGTCTTTAAATGTTCCTCAAGATTCCCAAACTTTTCAGCTTTTGACCTTCAAAATAAAAGCAGAAACACTTGACCCTGACTTGCTGGTGAAAGAACACAAATAAAGCTATTCTCCTATGAAACCAAGAAGCTCATCAACTATTATATTTTTTATGACCATTAAGTATGCCAATGGAGGTCTTGGTTTCTGTAGATCTTCTCAAAGCTCTGCACTTTGTGTTAAAAGATCTGCAGTGGGGTCCTGACCCCAGCTTTAAGAACTTCTGCTCAGGTCGACAGACCGTCTCGACTGAAGTTGTCTTTTTCAGCATTTTTTACTAGTAATAAACGTTTTTAAAATTATTAACACTAACACATATTTTGTACTTTTTGATGTTGTGTATTATTACAAATAAAGGTCGATGTGGGTTTAGATAAACCTGCTCTTTCAGATTGAGGAGTTATTCAGCATGTCTTTGCCAAGAAGTAAATCAGAGACAGGACAGTTACTGCTTTTGCATTTTATTTTTATTTTTTATGGATACACAATATTGGATTTTTGGCCGATACGCCAATATGTTAAAACTTATTTGGCCGATAACCGATACCGATATTTTGGATATGCTTTTCTTTGTCAGAACATAGCCCTCTTATTTACACTTATTTGCTATAAAAAATTGTGTAACAGCTGTAAGAGCTGGTGACATATGTTCAGTAACAGCCATATGATATGCATACACTTTAACTTATATTAACTTTAACTTGTATATTAAATGAAAAGTGTTAAATGTTATTTATTAGCATTAGTCACCTGCGATGCTGTCTCACTTGTGGAGGCTTGTTCCAGGTTCCTAGCTGCAGTGTGCACTCTTGTGCATGAAGGACAGACTTTTTAAGATCAAAGTTTTTGTCTATTCATTGAGCCGTAAGACTAATCATGCTAACGGGGCTAACACTTGACGTCCAATTGTCTGTGGTAAAACTCACCCAAGTGCTATCAGCTATTAGCTTCTCAATGATGTTGGAAATGACGGCTTGTAACTCTGGTAAGGCTACGTCGGAAAAATATCTCTGATTGGGGACGATGTAGCGAGGCTCAACATAGTCCAAAAAACTTGGGAATCCGATATCCTCAATGAAAAAAAAAGATTTCCACACCACTGACGTTTTGACTTCTTCCTCTCCGCCGTGAGATCAGGTAGTCGTGCGTGATGTCATCACATTGTGCTGGCGCTGCAGACCTCCTCGTCACTGGGTTTTCATACAAAAGCAGCTCCTTTTTATATCAGCAAATTATTTTGATTTAATGGCCGATGTTCGATATTTAACTTTAACGCTAATATCGACCGATACCATGCCGATAATTTTGTGCATCCCTACATTTTTTTTATTACATTTTCGGCTTGTTTCAAAGCTTCACTTGTTTCAAATTAATTTCTGTATTGGGCAAAAATATATATAAAATAGATTTTTAGATTGAAAAAAGTAAAATATCACATTTGTGATGATGCCAACTTTCTTAAAAACACTTGAAAAGCTGGTTTACACAACATGTGGCTAAATAAAAGGTAGCAGCAAGGACACACTGAGCATAACCTGGCTCTCCAAACACAGTGCGTTTCATTTATTGTATGAAATATCCACTTTTTGTCTTTCAGCCTTTGAAAAACAACAAATACAGGATTTTTAAGTCCAGATATGACTCAATTGACAGCTACTTGTCCTGCTGCGGTGAGAAGTACAACGACATCGATTTGATAATAGACAAGGAGATCTACCAGCAGCTGCTTGGTGCAGGTACAAGTTGTTAATAGTCACAATCCACTTCTGCGTGCTCATATTGAGCTGCAATATGAAATTATGCGTTTGGTTTGCAGGGATTGACAAGCTTCTGGCTCAACACGTAGCTCACCTCTTCATACGAGACCCGCTCTCCGTCTTTGAGGAGAAAATACATTTGGATGATGAAAATGAATCGGATCACTTTGAGGTTAGGATTTCTGCATTCCTTACTGGAGAACTTTAACAAATGAAAATAATGATTTAATTTTTGTTTAAACTTTTTACAGAATCTTCAGTCAACCAACTGGCAAACGATGAGGTTTAAACCCCCACCTCCGAACTCTGAGATAGGCTGGAGAGTTGAGTTTCGCCCCATGGAGGTACGCATCAAATATTATTTTTATTCTAACATGTTCAGGAACATTGTGTGAGTTACAATTTGATTTTTTTTCCTTGCAGGTGCAGCTGACGGACTTTGAAAATGCTGCGTATGTGGTGTTTGTCGTGCTGCTCACCAGAGTGATCCTGTCTTACAAACTGGACTTCTTAATCCCTTTGTCAAAGGTGAGAACAAGCTGCGAGCTTTACTTTTTATCACCCGCCACCACAAATGGCAGGCAATAATATATTTACCTGTGTGTGGGCATTCTTTTATCTGTCTGTTAACAAAATGTATCGCAAACCACTGGTTTTAATAAAACACTAATCATTGGATGTTCATCTACAACAGGTAGTCTTTTGATGTTGACCCAATTCAAGATGGCCACCACAGACCTCAAACCTCAGCAAACATGTATCTGTTTAGGTTGAGATGTTTAGTTATCGAGTTCCTGTGTCTGAATCCAGTGACGGTCTCTGTCGTCTAATGCAGAGTGAAACGTGTCTCCGTTAGGTTGATGAAAACATGAAGATGGCGCAGAAGAGAAATGCTGTCATGGAGGGAATGTTTTACTTCAGGAAAGACATCTTTAAAGGTGAGTTAAATGTGTTCCAGACACAGACATTAAGATCACCTGTATCTTTAAGACATTAAAGTTCATGCTCAATAATCTAGATAAAAATCCAACAATGTTCAGTCAGGTCATCTGGATATTTATTTTTTGTCGAGATGTTTTGTCCTTCATTCAAAGGACTTCATCAGTCCGAGGAGCCACAGCAAACTGAGTCCCACAAGCAGCATAATCGCATAGTAGACCAACCAGTTTGCTGGTGATGAGATGGTTTCTGGGGCCCGTCCTCTCCCCTGTCGACTCCTCTGAGGCAGCCATGTGGTTCAAAACATCAAAGTTCATGTTCAATAATCCAGGTAAAACAAAAAAATCCAACAAAGTTCAGTCAGGTCATCTGGACGGTTTCTTTTTTGACCTGACTGTGCGAGTGTGCTGCTTGTGGGACTCAGTTTGTTGTCTCCTCTGACTGACGAAGTCCGGTAGCAGGCTAGGCTAATCTCCAATGCGCGTTAAGTTTTTGCTTCAGGACCGTCAGAATGTGACTGAACAAGCTTTCACAAGTGAAGAGAAAACAGATGACATAACTGATAAGAGAGGAAAGACTAATTCAGCGGTGTGGAAGTGGTTCAGCTAGTTAAGATCAGATAAACCACAGGTTTCAGTCAGTGTGCTGCAAAATGTGCCGGAGAGTCGTTCCAGCTAGCGGTGGGAACACATCTAACTTGTTCCACTCGATGGAAGATGCTGAGAGTCACAAGATGAAGCACAATAAAAGTTTGAGCCAACGTGTCCCTGAAACACCCCCAGCTGTATCAGAAGAGAAACACGTGCAGCAAACTGTTATGTTGTTGTTTAAAGTTAAAACCATTAATTTTGACGAAGTGAGAGTTTTATGTTTATTTGACGGTGATTTCAAATTTTTTGAAAGCTAAACAAATAAATACAAATACATAAATAAATAATAAATAAATACAAATACAAATAAAAGATTAACATTAAATTATTTGTACAGGGTTTTTTTAGGCTTTTATATTGTTTATATCTATATCGAATTATATCGTTATCGACTGAAATTGAGAAATATATTGTGATAAAAGTTTGGCCACATCGTCCAGCCCTACTTTGTTGGATTTTTTTTTTTTTTTTTACCTAGATTATTGAGCATGAACTTTTATGTTTTGAACTTTTATGTTCTGAGCCACTTTGGCATGGCTGCCTCAGAGGAGTCGACAGGGGAGAGGGCAACCATCTTATCACCAGCAAACTGGTTGGTCCACTATGGTGTGGGTGTGCTGCTTGTGGGACTCAGTTTGTTGTAGCTCCTCAGACTGATGAAGTACTTTGGATGAAGGACAAAACTTCTCAACAACAACAAAAAAAACATCCAGATGACCTGCCTGAACTTTGTTGGGCTGTATCTTTAAGGTTTCTGAGAGCACTTTAATATGATTGGAGCTGGCGGGTGATGGAGTTTTTGTATTGGGTGTTGGTTGAGTATAAAAATAAATGTACACTAGAGCGCGCCCTCTTCCTGGTACAGCGGATTGAGACTTTGCACAGCATTAAGGCTGAAATAAAGCGTTGTCGTGTGGAACTTGCAGTTGCTGGCTCAGAGTTAATTTTATTGAACCTGGTGATATTCATACACATCATTAAACAGGAAGTGGAACTGTAAGGTAAAGTTGATGACTGATAAAAGTATCTAATTGTTGTCATTTTTTTGTTGTTGTTTGTTTTTAATCAACAGGTTGCAACCCGGTCCTCGATGGCGCCGCTTCTGCTCAGAACGGCTTGGGAACCAATTGTGGAAACGAGGAGTACACACTGATGAGTATAGACACAATCATCAACGGAAAGGTGATTTATTTATTTTTTTCCGTTTAGCTGTTTTTATTTGAAAGTGAAACATTTTTTTTTTCTAGGAGGCAGTTATGAAAGGAGCATATTTAGTTCCACCTAGTGGTCAATTCTTGTGCTTTACTTCTACTCAGTTTCCCAGTGGAGTACAAACCAAATCAATTAAACAATATTTTAATTTAAGTTATGTGAGGAAAACACAGTTTTGATATGTTTTTGTCTCTGTAAATAACCACCGACTTACAGACAAGTTTAAATTTTCAGTTTTGTTTCAATGTATTTGATTATTACAGCAGTTTTTTCTTTATTCACAAGGAGGGAGTATTTCAGGGGCTAATCCCAATTCTCAACTGCTATCTGGAAAACATGGAGGTGGACGTGGACACCAGATGCACCATTTTGAATTATCTAAAGCTCATCAAGAAGCGTGCCTCAGGTACACTTACCACTAAAGGAATATGGTGTTAGGAGCCTAAAGGAGATTTTCTGGTTCTGATCTTTGATTCCTCTGAAACAGGCGAACTGATGACCATGGCCAAGTGGATGAGGGAGTTTGTGGCAAAGCATCCAGAATATAAGCGGGACAGCGTCATAACCGACAAGATCAACTACGATCTGTTCAAAAAGTGTGACAGGATTGCAAGAGGCGAGGAGCAGTGCCCCGAGCTTTTTGGGAACCCAGTTAACCGGGTGGAATGAGACGCACAGCAGAAATGCTTCATGATTTTTTTTATTCGCATGTAAGACAACGACCAAATGAAAGAGGTCCAATCGTAAGAGAACGCACGTGTGTGGGG